TTACAACAAAATAACAAAAGTTGTTTGAAGAAAAATGGTTGTATTACGTTTAAATATCCAATTTTGACAAAATCTGAATTTCAAACTCTCATAAAAAAATTAATGTGGTTTTACTCAAAAGTTTTTTTTTTGATTTCAGTAAGAACAATTTATGAGGGATTTTGCATCAAATTTTTCAAGACAGATATTAAAATTAAAAAGTTTATGCATGTTTAACTTCGAGTTAATTTTATAGTATTTTAGTCAGAGCTTGAATTTGAAAAAAAAATTCCGTTTTATGTTATATACAATTAAAAGGTAACACAATTTTGCGTTAATCGTTATTTAGAATTAAAACGTTATCCAAGTTGGCGTTTATCGTTATTTAGAACTAAAACGTTATAAAAATTGAGTTTATCATTATTTAAAATAGTTTTAATACCTATTAAATTTAAAAATAATAACTAATGGGGGTAGGTAATGGCCTGGATACGGAATATAATATAATCAATTCTTGGATTTTTAGATTGTTTGCATGAAATAAATGTTTTTACGAAACCAATAGACCTTTTAAATAAAAAGATTTAAAAATATTTTGTTTTGTGTTATTTTTCGTTCAATGTTATTCTATAAATTACGTTTTGCGTTATTTTTCGTTTAATAATATTCCATAAATTACGTTTAGCTCTATGTTTTGTTTAATGATATATAATATTATATTTTGTTAATCGTTATGTTTTGTTTTGCGGTATTTAATTAGTTTTGATTATCACTTTCCGTTATAATTACGTTTACAAATTTAAATCGTTTTTTTGTAAAATATATTATTATAACGTTTTCAAGCCCTGATTAGGTATTTTTTTAAAGTTTTCGAGATTTTAACGAACTCTGTTGAAATTTGAGCTTTAAACACTTACAAAAAACAATTAGTTATAAATAGTTTTTTTCTGGTGATTCAAAAAATATAAAAAGTACAGAGAAATGTTTAATCTTGAATCCCTAAGTACCAATTAAACACGTTTTGCTACCAAAAACCATCATCAATGTCGAAAATTAAAATTTATATTGTTAACTAAAGTGACGTTAGACACACAAAAGAAAATATCCATTCAGAATGTATAGTACATAATACTATTGGTTAATTTCTTAAGATTGCACAGTCAATTATGACATTGAATTGCGCGAAAAATGTTTTCATAATTTACTCGATTGTCAGTAAACTATCATAGTGAATTAATATTACACTTTATGTTAACCTTTAAATTTAAACAATGTTATCATATCTCTTTTTTGAATATGGGTCTCAAAAAATAACAATTGTTTAAGTATTAAAATTGTTTATAATTTATATTCACGTACAATAAATACATTTAATAAATGTATATTTATTATTTATGAAGCAGTTATTTGATTCGTAAATCCCAACAGTGAAAATGTGATTTCTATTTTGAAAATTGGCTTAATACTTTTGCTTTACGTGTTTGGCGTGAAAAATTGGAAGGAGAGTATGCTTGGACTTTGGTTTATAGTTTAAATTTGTGACCAACGAAAAACTTGTTATGGATTCTGTTTGGCGCGTCTTTACAACAATATTTTTTTTATTTTTTTGTGAACACGTTTCTGGAGTACTCTTAAAGTTTTATATTATATATTTTTTCTACCAATTGAAAATTGGACACATATGGTACTTTAAAAACGTTTTTTTTTTTTAGAATTTCTCAATAGATTTTTTTTAATTTTCTCAAAAAACTATTGAAAAACGACTAAAATAAAAGTCTGTTAAATTTACGACTACATTTAGAACAAAACCTTAACGTTAAAAAAATGTTAATATTCTATTGTGTTACTGTATGCCCTGTGTTGGGCGTATGTTGTTTAAATCGGTTGTATTTTACTGTTTATTTTTGTATAATAGAAGGAAGTAATGATGCCGTTTTTTAGTAAGTTATTACTGTTTACGTATTTCAACAAATTTAACTATTGATTAATAACACTTTTTTAGTTTTTTACATAATTTTTACATAATATACATTACAATCTTAATACCAATCGTATCATAATAATATAATGTTACAGTGGTATATTTTATGATGGATACGTGGCGTATAGATCATAATGTCCGGATATTTTAATAATAAAACCAGCCACCAAACGACCAAATATGTAAATATATATTAATATGTACCGAGATGACTTTGTTTTTAATTGATCATCTTTAAAAACAAAACAAAATTCTCGCTACACAAAATAGAGAATGTTTAAGATGTATCTGTGAATACTTAAAGTAAACATTAATGTCCCTTATAACATTTAAACAGACCAATTTTATACATCGCTTGGGTAGCACTATAATAATATGTGATATCGTATAAATTTTCGTATACTGCGACATCTCTGAAGGTACAGTCCGCACTATTGCACTATAAAATAACTATAATTGAGGTAAAAGCGCAATAACGTGCAATGGTTATACGAAGAACGTCTAATGCGAATTTATTAGTAATTATAGGTAGGTACACGGTATATTTTTCCAGCAGATCGTAATTACGATTTGAATGGCTTGTGTTTTAGAGACTTGGTTGACCTGTATAGTAATATATATGATGAAAAAACCACAACATTTCTTTAAAATTAAATTATTGTAATTTTTGGATCCACGTAAATTAACTTCATACATTCCGACTCTTGTATTATTATAAATTCGTAAACAAGTTCGTTTTTTATTTTTTTTCAAACTTATCACTGTCCATAGACGAAATCAATGATTGCGATAGACACTGATTAGATTTTCGATATAGGTATTGATATCGTTATGAACTTATGACCGAATGTTAATGGTCTACAGTTATTTTAATATAGTTTATAGCTATATATTTTAGTAAACAATATTTTGAAACAAGAAATGCGTTCGAAAACTCTAGCGTTCTTCTGGAACTCTGTGTGGGAATAACGTATAAATTCATCATTTTATTCGTTATTGTTGTCTCCACATTAATATCGACATCGTCGTACAGCTGTTGTAAAGACTTACTGCAAATCGTTAATTTAATGAATAAGAGTAAGACCAGGTGCAATAGTTATTGTTAGGTATACACGTCGAGTGGACGCCGATAAAATATTAATCCGATGCGTTTAGATACCCAATTATTTTGGCAAAACACAATTTTGTTTTTTACTGCATTGTATAGTTTGTGGTTGAGAACAATAGTATATTATAATACAAAATAATGAAACGTTTCTAGAGAACCCTCCCATGGTAAAACAATTATTCGACATTATTGTTGCATTAGTCATTTGGGAAGGTGAGGAAAAACACGTACCTACCGAAAGGGATGGTGTGAAACTGATGTTGGATTCATGTCACGACTTATATTATGCCAGAAATTGTACTAAGTTTCCATTTTTTACATTTTTCAGCCTTCGTAATATACTTTCGATTACCTATAACTAACCTAATTTCGATGAAACATAACAATAATGTAATTTACAATAATTATTAAACCATTGAGGTGGAAATGGCTTATGTGTAGGTACATTGTACGTGTTCATAATCTGTCTTATGTTTAAACCCATTTTTTCCACATAATATTAATTATTATATTTAATATTTGATAATGTTATATGTCAAATGTTGGTTAACATAAAAAATAAGTTTTATAACCTAATAAATAATACAATTTAAATAAAATGATATGAGTTTTATTTTAATTAATGAAATTACAAAACTAGTTAGATTGAAACTCCTTAAACATGGCAAAATTAGTACACAAGAAACAACTGGACTTGCCTTTATTGGTCACATTAACTCTCCTTATTTATTAGATCACAATCCATTTTAAAGTCCCTTTTAATCATCATGGATCTCCCACACTTTTCTACATGACTGTATCTTATATCATAATACCAATTTAACAAAAACACTCACCCTTATCTAGATTTATGTCCCTTTGCAATATTTACTCTGACTTTGAATTTTTCTCAGGCCTACTAAACATAATGATTAAACATCACTTTAACTTCTGATACACTAATTATATTCTATTAGAATTATTAAATTATCTGTGAACAGTATATCTAATATTACTACCTACAACTACCTTTTTAATTTAACACATTAGTGAATTATAAATTTATATTTTTGTTTTTAATTTATACATATTTGTGAAATGAAAATTAAACTAATTTATTATCATTATTATTTATCTGTTTAATTGAGCATCCACCCATTGCGCTAAGAAGGAACCTAAATGGTGACCAGGTTTTGTCAGACGGTGGTCAATTTGGTGGCCAAGGTTCATTCTCAGCGTGAATAAAGTGTAATAAAGCGATACGAATCATGAAAACAGATTTTAATTTTTCATACAGTTTACTTGACATAAATTTCTTCACATAAGACTTTTTCCCAAACATTTTTTAATTTATACTTTTATTAGTACAGCTGTATTAATATTTAAGGGGATCAAATAAATATGAAAGAAAATCAATCCCAATAGTATATTTGCTAGCAAAATTTAAATCTTCATTTATAATTGTTATGACTCCACTGCTTCATTATATCAATTGGTACGTTAGAGTTAGAACACACAATATGTTGACACTTCCTATGTTGGATAAGTGTTGACAAAAATAGAAAATCTTCAGTTTTGATCTCTTTAAAACGAATTATTATTTGAATACATTTTAAACAACATAATGCTAAAAATTGAAATACTCTTATAGGTAAAACGATTTATATATAATATACTATAATAGAAATAATATAATAAAAGTTATTTCATTATTCTTATATAAATATATGAATACATATGTAGTAAATAAAAATTAGAATGTATTATATCAACAATATGTATGATAATGTTTAAAACAACAATGCATACTGTAGAGTAAACATTTTTATCTCCATCAAATATCTATATTACAATTTATAGAAATAAATAAACATATCTGGAACTAAACTTTAAAAATAATTGTTGTTTCGGATTTATCAGTAATAGTTTTAATCAATATTTATCACATTACAGTTAATTTGCATGACAACCAGTATCCTCCTTGTTGATGTTGAAGGTGGATTTTTCAGTGAAGTGGTTCAAGGATGCAAAACAATGACTAGAAGCTTAGCCAAGTAATGTTAATATAATGCTATCTATAAAACCTATTTGAGGTATACAAACGCGATTATGTGAATCTAATTTTGTACTGATGTTCAAAGTCGTAGCTATAATATTATAAGTTATAACATGTTAGTAATGCAGTACGATGTTTCGTTTAGTATCAATATCGTTTCATTTACTATAGGTACATAGTTTATATCGATATCATATTGAGATATAAAATGACAAACGATATCGATGTCGATACCAGTATCGTAATATCGAAAGTAAATTTATTGTCAATTTGTATTTCTCATGAATTATGATACATGTTTTATACATTTACTAGCTGATCCCTCGCACTTCATTATCCATAAACAATTATAAATCTTAAACAATTTTAATTGTTCAAATCCTTTTGCGTTCCAATAAATTCAACTCAGCTACCTGGTAGGCAATGTGCGAACATACAATTTGATGCCTGGATATTCCTCGATAAATTAAATATCCAACACAAAAATAATTTCTCAATTCGAACCAGTAGTTCAAACAAACAAAAACTTCAGCTTTATAATAGTATTATAGATTATTTTTATTATACCAATAAACTAAAAGAAACATAGTAAAATACCTACATACAAGTTTTATAAGAAAAGTAATATAAATTATATTAAAATATTATACTTGTCTATAATTGTAATTTTTCGTAACGTACCTAGTTGATATTTTATTCAACCGTTAAAATATGTCTTCACTGTCAAAATATAAATGCTAGTGTATTAGTTGATATCTATATCGGAAAATTTCTTCGATACCGATATCGTTCTGCATAACTATAATAGGTATAGTATTATTATAATATTACGTACAACCACGCTAACTAAATCAAAATTATAAACAATTTGTTCCTTAACCGTATACCGCACCCTAACCGTTGTATGTTCCGGACAGGATACCGTCGAAGCTGGCGGACGGCGGCCAGTACGCGACGCAAAAGGTGGTCGGTGCAGTGGGCAACGCCATCAAGCCAATGCGGCCGCTCAAGAGGATAGTGGACGCGACTGGCGGTGCCATATCCAACGTGATGGGGTCCGCCAGCCGCCTGATGGGAAAGGTGGTGGAACCTCCGAATAAAGTCATTTTTCTGTACAGCCGTCCGCTCAAGCACCTGGGCACGTCAAGAGTGTACCAGGAAGCGGTCCAGACGGTCATCGCGCATGCGCTCACCAACGTGGTGCTGCACAAGGACGAAATGGAAGAGGCTGAGGACACGCCGGTGGACCTGAGTGCCATGCCCGTGCTCGAATCAGTGGTGGAAAATCTCGAGAGTGCAGGGGCGTCCGATGATGACATCGCCGACATCATCAGCGTGTTGGGCCGCAATGGCAAACAGGACCTGCCCGTCCAGATCCAATCAAAGGTATGTAGTGCATAACCTAGACCAGGAGTTTTTAAGCTTTTGAATTTTTACGAACACGGTCCCTTGATGGAAGACTATTAGACTCCTTCCAATTTCCTTTGAATACCCTTTTTTACAAAATGTCTCATTTTAATACCTACTAATTTTATATTATAAATCACTTAAGTATATATTATATACCTGAAAACATACACATTTATAATTGTTTTTATTACACATAATTTTTCACACAATATTTTATTTTTACATAAAGCTGCCGAGGACCCCCGACATGAGTCTAACCTTAATCTAACCTAATCTAACTTTCAGCACCATATAATGCCGTCCCGGTACGTCCAGTAATTTTGAGCCGTTCGTAATCACTGATCATAAACATATCCATTTGTTGATAATGACCACCCAATTATTCCCCCTATAATTTTTTGAAAATTGTAACTAGGTACTTACTGCACATTTTTGCAAATTTCCAAATTAGAGGACTGCCTTTTCAATTGCATCACATTTCGTTTTTATGAAACTCTGTAGTTTTTTCTGTATGAACAATGTGACTTGGTGCGCGAATGCTTGGCATAAAAAATGCATTTCTGCACAAATGTTTGTGTTTGTTAAAAATTTAAGTTTTGAAAGTTGGGGGAAATTACAAAGGATTTCTCGAAAACGTTATAACAACGTAGTTTGCTTACGTATTCTAGCTTAACGTAGTTCGGAAAAGACTATAGCAGATTTAAACTCAATTTGAACAGTAAATTAAAATTCTGAAGAATTATTAAAAATAAAAAATTACTTTAACTGAAAAAATATACTTTTATAAATTGTGTACATATTTAACTCTAAAAATAGACACTCACGTTATCTTATTTTCCATTATATCTAGATGGGGAAAATACTATTCGTGTCTGCGAAAATGAACGCAGCGAAGGTTTTTTTGGTTTTAATTAACTTAAATATCCATAACAAGACCATTTCCATTATTTCGGTCACTCCTCGAAATGAAATTAATTTTATATTTTCTCAATTTAAAGTTTGATAAAATACAAACTTTTATTTGCTTTTACAGCCAAAATTACGAGAATATAAACAAATTTTTTAATTAAGATTTGATTCTAATCAAAGACATGAAAACATGTTTAAATTTTCAATTCATATAATATTGTTATTCATTTTTTTCTCTTTGTCCTAAAAATAGAAAACCTTTATATTGTGTGTTTGAAGTGCCGTCACTAAATACTATAAAATAATTTAGTTTATAGTTCATTCGTCTATGCAAATCTTCAGCTACCATTGAATCGAGTCAGATATTACCAATTATAATTCAAATTTCAAACTGCCTACATCTCAAATAGAGGATGTATTTTATACAAAAAGACAATAGTACGAAAACCTTCTAAACAGTTTTTTTTATTAAAAAATGTATTGTAATTATTGATTATATTTATTATAAATGTAATAATATCCTTGAGTTTCAAAAGCGTTAAAATTATAATTAATTTATCGAATTGAAATGAACTTGGTTGAGTTTGTGTGACCGAAGTCCAATTAGCCTTTCTGTGATTATATGATTAAGAGGACACCACACCCGCAATGTGTTGTCTTCTATAATGAATATCATCAGTATTGAGCGTTTAATTCACAGAAATATTTTATAATTTGTCTACACATAATTTTTTTTTCTATAACAAAGTGGAAGTGATGTGAGGTTTCATTAACGAACTTAATTACAAAGAAACGCACAAAGTCGTGCGCATTCGTCATTAGTACGCATTTTTCCCCCCTGAAAACAAATCAAATTATTAAAGCGCTTATGACTCGATCAATGGAGTGTGTGATATTATACTCATTTGCGTGCCCTTGGGTATATTATTTACTCTTCCCTTATAGAATGCACAAATTCACGTGCTCACGTATTTGAAACTATCATAATTCAACGCTGTTTAACAATGTATAATAATAATATTATAGTTGTATACATTTCTATTTATTTGAAATACAATTATCAATATAGAGTTTTTACTTTTATAATTTTGTTATTATTTATATAAGACAAACTTGAATTAGATTACCCAAATTTTAGAACAATGTAATTAAAATATAGAATATAATATTATGCTTTTTTTAAAAAAAAAAATCGATTACAGATAGCTTATCGAAATTCTCATACGTTACATAGTTATGCTGTTGAAATAAAAAGTAACGTCAACTAATAAACTTTAATTTCCTTAATAAGTGGAAATATTTATAAGAAATGCATAGTAATAATTGTTATTGTAAAGTATATTTTGAGTAAAACATTTTAATCAGAGTAAATTTAATTTAATAAATTTCGAGGTGTTGATAACCAGTAATCACATATCTATGTTGTAAAATATTTGAACATGTTGTTCGATGAAAGTATGAATATTAGAGACGGATATGAAATAAAACGAAATCGTTATTTTCTGGTGAGACTATGATGACATACATTAGGGTATAATAAATTGTATCTGGTGTAAGGTCAATAAAAACAAATAGTAGGTACATTAGTTATCTCCTGGCGAGAGGATATTAGTTAATTGCAGAGATTAACGAAGTCGAACAACGAAATAAAAACAACGTAGGTACCTATTATTTAACCCAGCCACATCGTGAATCTAGTAAAAGATAAAATAACATCTATATCGTAAGTACGTGTCATGTTAGGTGGATTACCTAAAAACTGGAAACCCTTTTTACCGTTTTGTTTTTTACATATTTTAATAACATTTAGATAATACGGAAAACGTCGGCAAATTATTGTCATTCGAATATTTTACTGAATCACATTTTTAACTACTCCTACACATACCTAATAGGTATGTGAAATACATAATGGTATAATTAATTTTTATTTTCAAACAGTGAACTTGTACAATATATTATACAACTATATTATGCTGTGAAAATACAGTTGAATCGAATCACGAATCGATAAATCATAATATCATTATGTTTAGTTCTAAGCGTAAAGACTCGTTGTACCTAACACCATTTTTGCAGTTGCTAGTAGTAGGCTAGGTATGTATATAGTATTATAATATGGTTTTAACGTGTTTAAAATCAACAACGTATTCTATAACGCAACGACGTAAATAATTGTTTTTGAACATTGTTGCTTAAATAATAAAACATCTGGTACCTATTAAGTATATACACGCCTATTATATTATTATACCAATAATGATCAAATAATTTCTATATATAATATAATATTGTCGTTTTTTAGATGTGTCTGCTGAACCGCACACAAAAAAATATTATAATATTTAAAAACAAAAATATGTCATAAATACCACCTCGGGACTTCATTGCAAAAGTTAAATTTTCACGCACGTCAGACAGTGCTATAAAAATTGTTAAATACTACGTTTATAAGCTGTGACGTGGGTCGCGGGTGTTTGGCTGAAGTTAGGTTTAACATAATATTATATAATACATCTGTAAATATTTTATACAAAGTTATTAATGTAGTAAAAAAATATTGTAATAAGAACGTTACTTTTACGTACATTATGAAAATGTACTCATATGACTAGCCACTGTAGTTGGCAAATTTTTCTAACGATACTTGCCACAAATTACCTGATATATTTTTTCCTGTGTGCTATTAAATATTGATATATAATATATACTAGCTTTCCCGCCCCACAATGCCCTAGCAATAGATTTGTTTTAATTTTATAATTTTATTTGTAAAAAATAATTTATATACCATATTTGTATTCATTATAATAATAATATAATATGTAACATATTATGGCAACTACATAAATTGATTAACAATAATATTATTTTTTCATGAGATAAAAAATATCATATAGGAATGAACTACTCTTTAAATACCTACAGGGGTTGAAATAATAAGCTATTGACTAGTCTCAAGGAATCGATTGGTATAACCTTTATTTAATACTTGAATGAACCAATGCGGGTTAAAAATTAGTGACCAAAAGTGATCAAAATTTTAAATCAAAATTATTAAATCCAATAATTGTATTATAAGTGACCTGTATCAACCGTAATATAAATACTTATTTCTACTAATTGGCTGCTGTTATTATATCGCAGTATGCAACCAATAAAAACCATTTATACAGAAAAGCCCATTGAAAAGTTTTTCAGTTTTTTCCGGATTTCCAAATTTTCATAGCAACTTTTTTTTCTCCGTAATTCGGAATATTTTATATTATGAAAATTAAAAAAAATTAGCCAAATCCGTGGAGCTGTTTTCAATTATGCAGTTTCCAACGGACAGTTTTAAATTTTTATTATATAAGCAAAAAAATGTAATTTCAACGTATTTAATAAAAGATATAAATATATAATAATAAAAAAAAAACATAACTAATTATTAACGTGCCCTCAACAATTTTTCACGTGTCATGTTGGGCACGCATGCCCCAGGATTTGCCATCCCTGCTCTAGGCTAATATTAAACTCATAATAATGACAGGATATATAATAATATGGCCAATTTATAGACCTAACCAATCGAATTTTGGAAAATAGATAGTTTAGTAGTTGTACATTACAAACAATAATATTTACTATTGTTGTAAATATTTTGTAGGTACTTGAAATTTAATCTGGATTATATATTATTGTTAGCATGTAAACTACTTGAAAGTCTACTTTAACCACATATTATAATATCGAATTAACAGCATTTCAAATATTTTGACTGGACAAGTTTTATCATCGAATATAGATATCATTTTTGTATAAACATTACTCACAAAAAGTTAGGTCACTTAAAGACTTGCAATTAATATTCTGATATATAAAAAACGATGAAAAGTTATTATGATAAAAAATAAAAATAAAATCCATAAATCGGAAGTAGGTGTCTAACTATATAAAAAATATTAGAATAGGTGATGATGTTATAATACAATATTTGATTGCATACTCCATTTATTGTATGACTCTCGTTTAATAGTGTGGTCTCATTAATTACTATACCGTAATGTCCTAATTAAATCATAAATGTACTGCACGCTTGTTTCCGAGTAATGAATGATGTGTATTATAACAGTCTTCCGTCGTTAATCATCTCCGGCGAATGTGAATATAAGACGCACACTTGGGTATCATAGGAGCCTACGTCCATAACACTTGGGCGTAATGTTTTGCTAAATGTAAGTTGGCATTACGATTCGATGCAGATGCGCGAGATTTAATACAGAATTAATCAAGAATTTTCAATTCGGGCAAAATCACACCCAAAGCGTTTTACAGGATTAACTACACTGTTCACTTATATGATTAATTACAATTTATTTACATTATTATGGTTTTTGATAAAAAAAAAAGCGCTAGTACCAATAGTATCGTAAAACACTTAACTTTAAAATGCCCAAGCTCAATTACGTCAGTCACTGATATACCGACGCTTGTGATAAGGTGAAATAATCGCCTAGGCAAATAATCGAAAGATATTGTTTAGGAAAAGCAAAAACTATATTTATAATAATATTATTATTGATGCATTTGCCCGAAATGAACTAAATATAATTTTGTCTCTTGAAAAGTGAAAATTTTGTTTTGTTTTGTAGGTGCTGTAGCATTTTTTTTTTTCAAATCGTATCGAAATGATTGCAATTTACATATTTGAATCACGATAATGTTATGCTATTCGAAGACCGAGTATTTAATAATAAATATCACTGTCGGTAACATACCCATGGGACTAATATTTTTAACCGTTTGTGTTTAGATTCTTTGCGGTATGTTGGTTGCGCGATGGTATCGAGGTGTCGTTTTTATATATTTATTTAGTGTAACTTATATTTTTTGGTTGTTTTACTATTTTTTGTGATCTAAAAGTGATAAAGACTCATTAATATATTTGATAGTGATTTTAATTTAAATTATTAATATTAGGTTTGTCTAACAGATGATTTTGAAAACTACAAGTAATTTCATGTCATAGTCAATTTTTAGACTTATATTTTCATGAACAGAAAATCCATAATATATAGCAAATAGATAGTCTTGATATTGCCCAATTGATAAAATTGTTAAAGTCTTTAACATTTAGTTTTGTAAATTCTTTTGCAGTGTGGAGAATTAATTTTAATAGAATACTCATCGAGTGTTTTGAGAAAAATATAATTTAAAAGTCGTTTGCCCTCTTGGCTCACCATACTTGAGTTTGCGCATATTTTTTAGAGATCGTAATAAATAATTGCAATAAAAATCCATAAAATATTTATTTGTGGAACCACAAGAATCTCTCAATAAAGATACTAATTTATGAATATAATTGTACGTTAATTTCATATTTTTTATTATATTAATTAGTTTGTTTCAATCAGGTCCTTGGCATTCTAAAAGATAGAAATGGGAACTTTAAAAGCGATGGGCCCATGAATGAATTACGTTGGATTGCAGAGCACCCTCGTGGATTCTATCAGATGGATGACAAAGAAAGGACTGATTACAAATTGAAGACGCAAAAAAAATATACTAGATGTACGGTATTACATCCACCATCATTCGACATAAGAAATACATAAATGGACTGCGTTACAGTTAAAATTGCAAGCGTTGCCTCAGACTTTCTAATCTCAATCGATAGAAAATGAATTAATAAATTATATTTAATTTAATAAATTATTTATTAATGAAATAATGTGTATTTTTGTGAGTTTTATTACTTTTTCAACATTATTTCAATACGATAAAATAACAATATACTTAATAAATAATAATATAAATCATTACTGTTTGTTCATATTTGTTATTTTAATTGAATGTGCTTTAATAATATAACTACATTATAGTTAAATTATTATTATAAAATGAAGTCAATGTCAATGGAAATCTGACTGTATAATTATTGCACTTGAGTTTCATTTTAACTCATGTGCAAAATTTTCCGGCAACTAGCACGTCGTTCGTGGGTGACTCGATAAAAAGCATATATAATTTTTTTTCTCTTCTACACGGAAAATTGTTATACTAAATAAACATTATGTTATAATATATAGAATATGTTAATATCAAACAAGATACAATATCATGATTAAAATGTATTTATTATTATCAAGCTCAATAATATTAAACTATTTTAACACGGCGATACGGGTATGCAATTTAGGTACAGTTTGGTCTTGCATTTATTTACATCATATCTCTTTATAAAATATCTTACTATTAGTAAAACGGTAAATAGTCTTAAATGGTTTATACATTATTATTGAAAACATCGCATTTTAAAATTTCATTATGTGAATAAAATATAATAGTATATTGTACATTAAATGTTTCAAGTTTCCGCAAATTATTGAATTACTACAAATTATTCTTCGTTTAAATATCTAATTACGACCACAATTTAACTTAAAACGTCTATGAAAACAACTGTGATACATAGATATTATATAATATATTTTTTTTTTTGTTTTTACGATTAACTACTATTTTGAGAAACCTTGTATTAAACTTTCTTAGCTATACAAATTAAACAAACATAAATGTTTAACTAAAAAATAATGTGCAAAAAGTTTAGTTGCGTGTAACATAGAGTTCAATGGTTGCTCGGGCAACACCTTCAATAAGGGTTGGGTGGGTTGATAGATAAAAAAAATAAGTAATTTTATAGGTCGGTATAACAGTAATATGAGGGGTAGGTCACCTAAAAAACTATTTGAGCCACCGATTTCTTTTGTGATACACGTCACTGACAATGTTCTTGAATTTACTGAATTTCTTCAAATTTTTAACTTCAAATGCTTATAAAAAAAACGTTGTTATCAATTATCTTTATGTTTATAATTGGCCATAAAAACAACTATTATGATGAACCTTGAATAACATTTTTAAACTTTTTGATGAAGTAAACGATCTTTTATCGATATTTCAAGAAGAAAAAAAATCGAAAAATTTCAAATTATGTATATAAATAGCTCAAAAAGAGTCAAAATATTTTTTAAATAATACGGATAATAATATGGAAAAGCTAATATATTAACATTTTGTTTCTGGAATCTTATTTGTTTTAATTATTTGCTAAAACAAAATCGTTTTTTCACGTTAACATTCACAAATATATTTCACTTATTTTTAAACAAAGGTGTTCATAAATAATATTTGTGGGATTACGTTTTATATTATGAAGAAACTTATATCCAATTTTTAAAATTGTAAGCTAATCATAGCTCAAAAACAGTAAAAATTATACTGTGTATAGAAAATTATAATACAAACATTTGGTGATGGTTTAAATTATCTTCGATTGTTAATTTTTTAGTTTCATCGAAAAAAACAAAATTAATTTTATTAAAAACTACTTTTGAGTGGGTAAACATTTTTTCTTAATTGTATTACGTTTTTCTTAATTATTTGAAAAAAATTCGGCATTTTTTACTCTTAACTAAATTACATTTTATAGAAACAAATATGAAAGAGTTGCTAACAATTTTGTTTTATAAAACCAAATCAAAGCTCCACGATTATTAATATACAATTTATGAAATATTGTTTCAGATAAAGTTAGCAACGTGAACGAATTTGGATGATGCTCTATTTAAATGGGTTGTTTGGACAAAACTTTCTACAATCATAATATATTCAACTCTGTTATACACAACATCTTTGTACGTCTGCAGTTGTGTTTAAATTTTGAAGTTCTGTATTACTGTTTAATGTATATAATATACAAAACATAATATCGTTATCATTTTTTAATTGTCGACAAAGATAACGTTCAGTTTTATCTTGTGCAATTATCATCGCTTTGAAAGTTTAGAATACCATTCTAGCAGCTGCATTTGAACTGCGTTATTACTATTGAACAATAAAATCTTTAAGACTCGTTAAAAGTGAATATATAAATAGTCGTTTAGGTTATATCGGATAATTTTATTTTGAAAAGTGGTAACCCGTACGAAATGTTACTTTTTATTTTTATGGTGGTGCGGAAATAAACAAATTTAATTTTCTAATAATTAAATACTTATCTGAATTTAGGATTTAGACTCGCTTACGATTCAAATGATTGCTATTACCAACAGAAGGTCCTAGAATATATTCTTATTTTTTTTTTTAATCGTACATATGGGTACCATTTAGGCAACAATTACGGAACAAGTCTTTTCTTAGAAAAATAAAGACAGTATTTCGGTGAACTGCTTAACTGTAAGAACCCAATACAGACAATCATATGAACACCGGCAAAACCTATTAATATTAAATGCCCTCCCCCAAACATAGAAAACATAATAAAAACCATCAAATTCCGTGGGAAGATGAAATTCAGAAAGAAATGCTAACGATCCTAGTCGAGGAAACAATAAAGAGACTATATGGTATTATAAAAAATGCATGGTTCAAGGAAAGACTTCCAGTAGATTGGGATACCACATTAGTTTGTAATATCCCCAAAAAAATACCCACAGGACAGCAATAATTATCTAGGGATTGTATTATTACATACAACATATAAGGTCTTAAAATATTGTATACTAGATAGAGTAGGACCAATAGCAGAGAGTATACTAGCCACTAGGTGGCTATCCGGGTACCCTGGTGGGTTTATACCCAATAGATCTGCAACGGAATATATGATAAATATATGACCCAGTCTTTGATAGTCCAACTAAAGAATGGAGTTAACTACATAGTGATGAAGATAGTTAAATAGATCTCTAAGATAAGATTACTTTGGAGTAAACAAGGATCTATAGTTAATCGGGTAATTGAAGAATAGTCTATGGGGAAAATACCGTTAGGGAGACCAAAGCTAAAATGAGAAGACTATGTGAAGAAGGACGTTAAAAAGATGGAGAGATACGGCAGAAAACAGGAACAGGTGGCAAGATTTTTATTTAGCTATATGGTCTATAAGGCCGAAACCAAGAAAGAATAAGAGAAAAGAGAAGAAGCTATAGGTATCATTAATATTAAATTTCCTTAATATAAGATTTCTTAACCTAATCTAAACTAGCGATATCATAAGAATGACAGTTGTATAAATACAAATGAAACTCGAGGATCATTATACTATAGTATATTATTATAAGTAGTGAATGACAGTTTATGTCAGTATATTACAGTGACCTCTGGTTCAGAGTAAATTGTACGGTAAAAAGAAAAAATTGGTGGTACAAATTGAAGCGTAAAGAACAAACTGTAAAGGAAATAAAAACTATCTAATACCAGGTAAAGGTAACGGGTCATCGAGCACACAGAATTCCGACGGTTCATAATATACATAATGTATATAAATACTGTACTGAGATCAAAATAATATAATAAGAGCATATTTTATCATATAGTATGAATTTTTTATGTGGAGTTCATCGTTTTGTCCATAATCCATGACCTGTTTCGTTTTATTTTGTTTTTTTTTTTTTTTTGTGTTCATATATCAGCTATAGTCTATATACTTGTATAATGTCAACTATGAAAAAAATATATTATAATCGATTTTTTATACACTGTATAATGTATACTTTTTTGTTATTTAAAAATTAAAATAATAAAAAAGACAAATCAAAACCTGTATTTAACCGTATGTGGTGGATGTTTTAAAACCATAACATGAGAGATATTTCTTAAAAAAAAAACCATTAAAATGCGATCCTTTGCTTCGAAAAATCAAACTGTATAATATAAATAAGAATATTATTATGTAACACTGGTCACGATAATCGAATGCGATGCTCAGCTGCACTGAGGCCTGTGGAGAACAATGATTTTGGATTTCGACATAAATTCAACTTTACTTGGACACCTCTAGCCACCAACTGGCCGGACATTTAACATAATATCATTATTATATTGTAAAACATAATATTAGGCATAGATACATGTTTATTCATTTGCATCTGTGTGTGTGATGCCTAAATGGCTACATCGGTTGCCTTTTTGGACCTATATATATATGACGTACACCTATCGATATACTATGATAAATATACATAGAAAGATGGCGATAAAGTGCATCGCTGCGCCGCCGGTCTGGCTCACGTGGTGTATTTTAATAATAACACTATCATCGTGTAAATTACGATATGGGCTGCAATGACCGCGTCGTCGGCTACAGTTGCAGTCGTCCCGTTCCACCCGCGCCCACCGTAATATACTCACATAATGCACACAACGAAGGTAACCTATCTGTGTATTCAGCATTGTATGTTATTATTAATATATATATATATCATAACAGAGTACACAACATAATCTCGTATCATAATATTATATTACACAGTAGTAGTATGTAGTATATTATCATTATGCGTATATGTAGACACGTAATAATGCACAGGCATGCACATGTAATAATGCTACTCGTGCCCTGGCCGGATCGCATCAAAGTGAACCGTTCGGCCGTGTCAAACGTCGGAGAGATTCCGCACCCATATAGGTACCATGTATGACGTATATGATAATATATATATGCATATGATAGGCGAATATAATATATTATGTATGTGTATATTGTATAATGCATAAAGTATAAACACGAGTATATATAGTATACATTGCACTCGCTCGACACCGTCAGTGCTAG